TTTCTATAATCCACACTTTGGTACATTGTCTACGGGATACATAGCAAATTAAACGTTTAATTCCATCATGCTTTGTGGAAATTTTATTGAAAATGACTAAAGGGGACAGGGATGAATATATCATTATTGTATGTGCATGCGAGCTTTTTTAATTATGAGTGATACGACTTAATTTAATTAGGAAGAATCACAGAAATCATTGGTTTGAACTTATAACCATGTTATTCATTATTGGGCTGACACATACACAAGGAGTTTACGTAAAAATATGAAGTTTTGTTCCATCATTTTTATTTTTATTTTTTGTCTCGGATTCACTTTTTATTTTATTTTATTTTTTGCTTTTCTTTTATTATCTGTCCGTTATTCTTTCTATAAAAAATCTGAAGTAGAATGGGGACAATGAGTGCCTCAAGGACTAGAGAGTAGTGCTGTGTCTAGTATTCAGCATCAAATCCTCTGAAACCATATCTGAGAATTCACCATCATTTTCACTTTTGAACCCTTAACCCTCAAAGGAGCCTGTATGGAACTTTTAGCAGCAGACCCACAACAATATGGTTAATTTTACAACCAAAAAAATATGAATTTTGGAACAGGGTCGGGCCTTTCTCTATCCTTGTCATGTGGTCACATAAAGTTGGAAATTCCAAATTCCCAAACAAAAAGAGAGGATAAAGAGTTAGATTCTAAATCCTACATAAAACACCCCACAAAGCCCTACCATTTGTTAAGAGGGGAAAAGTATCTTTGGCATCTTGGTTATATACTTAGGATTCCTCACTCCTCTCACTTTAAAGCTCTTCTTGTTTACAAATAAAGGAAATTTGTGGGGGAGGTTAATTCTTTATGCAAGATAAGGAAGCAAATGATGTAAAGGAACCTTCATGGATTAGTATATACAAATTCAAGACAAAAATAAAAGCAGCAGCTCAGTGCCTTGTTGGTTATGGTCCCCTTTGTTATGTGGGTGCACATGGCATTCTCTTACAGGTCTATAAAATGCTGATTACATTTTAACATGAAGATTAGTGACCATAATTACTATGGTCATTCCTTTCCATACATGCCATAATAATAAGTAAATTATAAGCTATACAAAGTCATGTTCAAGAAACCCAAACTCCCATATGACACTAATATTTAGCCTTCATGATGGAGGATATTGGTGGGAACCAAATGGCATAGACAAAATCCAAAATTCTCATGTAGTTCACCAACTTTTTTGTGGCCAATGAGATGGCATCAAATCTGGCCTCGTGCCCCAATCTGCGGGTTTATACAAAATAATATAATCAAAGTTGTAAGGGAGATATAATATAAAAAATATTGAAGGCCCGGTTTAAGTTTTTGGGTTTAAATGGTTAGGTTAATTTACATGGTATCAGAGCCTATGTGATCAAGTGATCACGAGTTCAATCCTCATTATCCCTTATTTAATTAATAAATAATTAAGTATTATAAAATTTGTTAGCATAGTAAATAGAAAATAAAAAAATAAAAAAATGAGCATGTGCAATATCTACACTCCAAGCTCAAGGGCTTTTACGTGAGAGGTAAAAGGATGTGTTAGAAAAATATGATATAAAAATCATTGAAGGCTCGTTACTTACAAATTTAAGTTTTTGGATTGTAATAATTTTTTACAAAAGTTCCTGAAACCCATTAACCACTCTTGTCGTCAAGAAACTAATAAACCATCTTCTAATCTATCTAGAAATGGACAAAAAAAATAAAAATAAAAAATATTCTATGTAGCCTTTGATGTCACGAGCTATAAATATCGTCCGTACATCAATGTGGTGAGGTTTGTTAACTTCGCACATATACAAACTTTTTTATGTGCGTTTGTTTTATAAAAGGGATAGGAAGAGACCAGTTTTGTGTTTGTGATAATCAAATTTATATTGGTATTGTTGTCCTTCTGTCCCAATGCTTGTCCTAATATCTGTCCCATTAATCTCATAATTCAAAAGCAAGCTTTTGATTAATGTCCAAAACTCATGTCCCACATGAACCCCTCAAGAGTTATAATTATATTTGTTTATTGTGTCCGTGATCACCATTGGTATTGTTTGATCTGCATAACCTGTTCAGTGGGGGTAAATGGCTTATCTGATTAATAACCACTTAATTCAAACTTTAATGGTTCCCATCCCACAGCGTCGGTCTAATGAGGGAATGCAATACTAGTGCGTAATTTGATTGATTGAAGAGCAGCTACCTTTAATTAATTGGAATATCTTAATGAATTGATAAGTTGAGTAAGACTCATCAAGTTGGGGGATCCACATTTGGAACTATACTTAGAAACCCCTTATAAATCAAAGAATAGTATAGTCCGTATGAAAAGTGACCATGACTTTGATATTTTACATCAAGGATGAATTTGTAATTATGTGCACCGTATAAGCCTATAAGGGGCAAAAAATAATAATTCAAATTGAAAGGAAAAAAATATCTCGTCTAATAGATCAATCAGGTGCCCAAAATTTTGGTCCATGATTTATGGCTCCATCAATTATACAGAGATACGTACATCCAAGAGCAATGGGAGAAAGAGGTAATGAGGTAAGATTGTCGCAAATTTGCTATAATTTTCTTCACTATGGTCCATCTATTCAGTGGCATAACTTGATGAACATGGGTCTAGACAGCAGTGTATGGATGTGATAGATGTTGAGCCAATAAGCGGGTTATTATATGGTTGTCATGCAATCGTTGGGGTGATTATAATTAAATTTGCATGACAAATGCCTAAACATGGATGGTTACTTTTTCTGCGAAGACACCATGGCAAAAAAGCGGTGGTGGCGTGTGTGCTAGCGTTACTGCATGCGAAAGTAATATACCTTAGGTCAGGTATACGGGACTAAATGACAAGCTCTTTGTGAGCTGAACTTTTTACTATTTGTAGGGAAGATATTCTGTCTTAAAGTTAACTTTTTTAAGCTCTTCAAAAAAAGACTAAATACCCTTTTTAGTTCCTGACAATATCTACGAAATTCTTTTCAGTTCCTGACAATAAAAAAGGACCAAATTGGTCCCTGAAAGTACAAGAAAAGGGCCACTCTACATATTTAGGAGTTGACATAAGGACTAACATGGCCCTTTTTTGTAATTTCAGGGACCAATTTGGTCATTTTTTATTTCCATGGACTAAAAAAGACTTCGTAGATATTGACAGGGACTAAAAAATGTGTTTACTCAAAACAAAAATCATAAATCGCATGTGGTTCATTTTTTTATTACTTACGTCTTTATATTTTTTTTTCTTGTTTTTTTCCATCCAAGTCCTCCTTTTAATACTGTTAATAATTGAGTTAATTTATCTATTTTACCTTTATCTCAAATAATATTTTAACTTTTCTATTGTTTGACTTTTAATATTTTAACATAGGGCTTGGATTTTCATCTTCTTTGTCGTCGTCATTCTGCATTTTGTTGTTATATATAAATCTTGAATGAATCATGAAATGATGCTAATAATATAATTAATATAAAGTTTACGTGGTTGTGGGTATAAGCTTAGAGATTGAGGATGGTGACAAACCGGGGGATTACTCTCATTGTTGATGCCACTTTGCAACACCAACATTAAGACAAGGATCAAAATATTGATTCCTCTACTCACGCGCCCGTTCCCAATTCCCCTATTATTCAGCCACAACAGTATCAAGTAATGGTTGATCAGGGAGATGATAACAAAAGTGCCAGAAACCAAAATAATTAATGAGAATCAGCTTAAATGGATTGAAGATGAAAGAGATAACAAAGGATAAAATGAACAAGTTAACTTAATTATTAAAGATGTTAAAAGGAGATTTTGATGAAAAAAAATCATAGGGGATAATTAATAAGAAAAAAACATAAAGATGTAAATGATAAAAGAGTAAGCCACGTTGGGTTTATGAACTTTTTTCTTTTTATTTTTAGTGCTTTCGCTCTTCTATCTTTCATTTGTACTAATTTTGTTAACATAAATTTCAAAGTAATAAAGGCTTCGTCCTATTGCTTTAAAAGCCAGCTCTTTAGGTAGTGGCTACCCATCTTCAACTTCATTATGAATCATTTATTTGAATTTTTTATGTAAAAGAAAACACACACACACACACGGAGAGAGAGACAGATAATGTTCTGGTACCCATGTAAATGACCCATGGATGTAATGCAAAGACTGTATGATATTTCAGGAAGTAGGGAGGGGGGCTAGTTCATGATAGTATGTATAATACTACAATAGCACTGCCGGGACGGTCACGAGCAGGAACTGGCTAACTGAGAAGTCATAATCACTGATTGGTCATCTTTATAGCTAGCGGGACCCACGAGTCCACCCGCTTCAGCGTTTTGCCTCACTAGATTCCAGAGAGGGTCTTATAGTTTCTTTTCCTTCATTGATAAAAACAAATGGCAAACCTACAAAGTACCTCAATTGAGAATCATATGCTATGGCCCAGCAAATACCAAATAGTGAACTAAGATTTTCCCTGATTGGGCGTTTGGTAGAGGAGAGGATGCAAGCAGCCGCGGTAAGACAGAGGATGCAAGTGTTATCCGAAATGATTGGGCGTAAAGCGGTCTGTAGGTGGCTTTTTAAGTTCGCCGTCAAGTTTCAGGGCCCAACCCTGGACAGGCAATGGAAACTATCAAGCTGGAGTATGGTAGGGGCAGAGAGAATTTCCGGTGGAGCGATGAAATGCGTAGAGATCAGAAAGAACACCAACGGCGAAAGCACTATGCTGGACCCATTGTCTACTTAAAAAAAAATAGTGAACTAAGATTTTTGAGTGGACTATAAGCTCATAAGATAAGTGGATCTAATAATTCAATTGTATATTTAGCTGCAAATGGATATATCCTATATAAATTTCATGTTCGAATTACTTTGGGGTCACAAAGCCAATGAATCACATGATTCATTCAAGGATAAGTCAGGAATTTCCGTGGATATAAAGTAGAACAGAATGAGAAATAAAAAGATATCTGACTGAAGCAAATCTATGAAATTAATATTAATGAATTCAATACACATCACACAGGAAAAGGCCCCAAAGACCAATTAGGCCACTATGTAAAGAGGGTTCTCCCCCCCCTTAAAAACAAATCAAAAAATTCAGAGTTTAAAACTATATACACGTGTTTCCATTACACGCGTGGACACCAGGCATTGGAGTCCTGTTTAGTTAGGCCAAACTGCGCGGCCAAAGAGGAAAACAAAATAAAAAAATAAACAGCTCCCACCCCGAAAAGCCGAAAGGAAAAAAAAAATTCACACATTCACTGATACGCACGTGATGGGCACGCACCAGCACCATCTGCACACATGCCATAAGAAAAGTCCACAAAATGAAACCATCTTCTGCTTATTATCCTTCTGTTCCTTTTTTATTGTTGAGGGTATCCCATCAAAGGAACGCGCAAGTTGAAGAAATAGTGGCCAAGATGAGAAAGCTTGACTTGTAAATCCCATGACATGAACGGCTCAGAAATAGTTTCAATCCCCTAGTTTTTTAAACCTCTCTGCTTTTCTTCCCTACCTCTAGAGAGCACTGCCCCACCATCTTTGATCTCTTTCCCCTATAATCAATGCAACCTTTGAAACCCCAGCTCAACTTCTTTCTCTTTTCCACACTTACAAGACCAAACACATTAAATGCATCCATCTCTATTTCAATATTTCCCTTCTCTCACTTACTTTTGCACAGCAATACATTTATGTTTACAAGATCCCCCTCCCCTAGGAATCCGCAAAGCCATTAATGAATGGCAATACCCATCAACAAAAAATAAATATCAATAATTATAATTTCTCCAAACCCATCAAAATCTCATTCATACAGTATATATACTAAATAATCTACGCCCTCACTCAAGTCAATTTTTAATCACAAAAACCCTCTAAAAAATGTTGAGGTTTCTAGACAGCTTGACTACTTTTTTTTTTACCTCCTGCCTTTATTATTTATGTTCCTTTTCTCTTCACTCGGAGTTTCCTTTGTCATCATCTGCCCACAAACAGTTATTTAATTTCCTCCTTTTATAAGAGGATGAGAAGGAGGATGAAGAGGAGGACGATGGGGATGATGAGACACTTGACCTTATTCGGTTCAGAGTTGTTACTCGCAACTGTGGCAACACTTTAGAGGGCTTCCTGCTGCGGTTATTGTTTATCACAAGTTCTTGCATCAACTGGTAGCACCCTATGATTTTTTCCTGCAACAATAAGAAATATGTGCTTTGGCAACCTGATCGATATGTTCATTTGAAACATATACATAAACTCACTTTTTTTTTATCATAATATACCAGAATACATGCTTACTTTTCTTAGGCCCTCGCACCATGACTCAGCATGCTCAGGCTTAGCGAGAGACCAATTAGGAATCTCATTGGCTGCAGAGAGTATGGCTGCTGCAGCAATGCATGATGGCCTGTAAGCAAGAAAGCTAGCCTCTGCGGACAAAGTATTCAAACAGAAAACTCATTAATCTTGGCAACTCACAATACATACCTTCATTACTTTCTAGTATCCAAAGCATTTTGAACGGCTATAGGAATATATAATATACCTTGGATATTAGATAAGATGATTTCTGTAGCCCGTGAAATGAGGAATCCAGTAAAAGTACCAGTTGAATCTAGCTTGCACGCAAAGAAACCGAGGAAGCTAAGTGGGGTGACTGATCTTAGCCTCCAATCCAAGACAGCCAGAACAAGTAGCTCCATCCTACCAATCGTTCTAGATTCAAATATGTATTTGGCACCTTCTACCTGCACTATGCACATTATGAATGAGACAGTATTATCCAAATCAACAGAGTTGTAACCATTAATATTAATTAATTTCATTTAATTAGGAACCTATTTGATATAATTTTATTGAATCTAGTCAAAGATCGAGGCCCATACAGATAAGACTTTACCTGAAGGTCCAAGAGAGACGGAACCAGAGGTTCCTCCATCTTTGCAGCTAAAGACAAACATGTAACAGATAGAAGTTGCAGAGGCCACCCATTTGTTTGCTGTAAACATATATAAATATATCAAACAGTAAATTGGAAAGGTCAATATCATCATCACCATAGTAATTGTTTCTACTATCTCGACCTCTCGATAAATACTAGTACCACTCCTCAAAATTTCTGGGACAAAATACTAGTATATGTCCCTCACTTGACAGATAAAGTACTAGAAGCTTCTGTAATCCACTGTATATACTGCAACAGTATGTATTCTCCAATACATAGATTGTTGATATTTACACGCTTCTGTTTTTTTTTTTTTTTTTGGTAAAGTGTTAATTTAATTGTCGTATAAGTATTCCATAATTCCGTACCTGTATAACATTTGGGTAAATATAATATTTATATGAAAAGATGATTAAATCATCAGTAGAACATAAAAATAAATGCGTTGTTTAATCAATGATTGAGAGGCTAATGGAATAGTAACTCCTCTTAGAATTTTCTCGACATAATAATTAAAACTTATAATATTTGTACGTAACCAGCATGATGAAAAAAATAAAAATAAAGTACCACATCAGCGTATTATATATATATATATATATATATATATATATATATATATATATGAATAATGACATTATCTTAGCAATATAATTTTGCGTAACTTTTATAACTTTCTATTGAGAGTGCGTTATAATATGAAGAAAACAAAATAAAATATGAGAATTTATTGTGGTAAACATTTATAACTTTTTCGTTTGAAAAGTCAAACATAATTACCGCATAAAAATTTTCTTGGCACGCACATGATGTAATAATAATAATAATCACCAAATTGTCAATTTCTCCTCCGAGTTCTTCTACTTTTGGAAATTTAATGTAACATTTTAAAGCTGCCGAGAAAGAAGAGCTCACCGGCAACCGGCCAGAATCCAAGAACCGATCCATATAATTGACGGAAAGGTACGCCGTCAGTGGCCGAAAGCCGTAGTACGCGTGTACCTGCGAATCACGTATCACACAATCAATGCATGGAAACAAACAAAAACAACAATAATTATAATAATAACAACGCCGTCAATCTAGGACTTATCAACGCCGTGAACTCCGGTTGTGAGAGCCGGTAAAGATGCAGATCTAGTAGAGACTAGAATCTAGGCCGTTACGGGGAGACGGTTGCACCACGGGCGCATTTTAGCGTCGAGCAGTTCGGCGAGTGGCATTAATGTAATATGAGTGAAACGGAGTGTCCGATTGTTGAAGAAAGTGAGTTTGTTATATTTACCTTGAGAATCCATGCAACGGATTCTTCTCTGGCGTTGACGTCTAGAGAGCGAGATTGGAATCTTGACAAGTAGTTGAAACCGGGAACGAAGTTGCGTTCGTGCTCGATGAAACAAGCGATGGACTCCTCCGTCGATGAGGAGGAAGACGACGACGAAAGCAGAGAGGAATCGAGGTCGGAGGAGCATTCCGGCGACTCTACCGAAAGGATTCCGGAGGTATCCTCGCGGCAGAGGAGGTCGTAGTCGGAGATGCAAGAAAGCGACATGAGAATCGCCGGAGGTGGTTCCTCATTCATAGTGTTGCCATATGGATTCGCCGGAACCTGATCGGAGAAGTCGCCGGACTGCTGATTTTGCACGCAGAGAGAGAGAGAGAGTGGGAGTAGGAAGACTGGTTGATGAGAGTGATATTATCTTGGTTTGAAGCCTCCGTATCTGTTTGTTTGACTATAAATATGAGGTGCCTGATTTGGTTTTTTTTTTTTAAAACAAAAAAAAACAAAACTGATTCTTAGAATTTGTTTATGGGTTTTATTAATATCATGTTAAGGGAGATAAATTATTTTATGTCATAGAGATAAATTTGTGGGCTCCACCATCTGAAAAAAAAAAGGTGGCACAGTCATCAAAGAATGTGTAAGAAAGAAAGTTATCATATGTATTATAAGAGTAGTTTTTCCCTTTGTTTATTTATTAGGGACTTGATAATAACTAAAATATTTATAGGTAATTAATTTTATTTTTTTACAAGTAAACATAATTTAATTGATGTCATATCACCCTTAATTATTTAATTTTACTAATTATTTTTTCAGAAAGAAATACTTGATTGATCAATAAAGTTTATTTGTTTATTTTTTAATAAAACTTTCTTAATCGGCCATATGTAAGTAGTAAAGTAAGTCATTATCTTGTAAATAAAAAAATGTCAGTGAAAAGAATTTTAAGAAGGTAATTTTATATAAAACTCATCTTTAGAGCTTGTGAATTTAATTCGTATAGGCTTTCAAATTATATTATAATTTAACGATATTTTATCATATTATTTAATGAACTTAAAATATTAAATGATAAATTATTTCAAAATAACAATATATTAAAATTAAACTTAAAACTTATAATGGGTAAATTTTAGAGATCAAATTCAAACTACAATGATTTAATAAGATTAAGGGTTTAATAATTTTTATATTATGGGAGATAAATTTATCATCTACACATATATAAAATGTATAAAATTAAAGAGATATGAGGAGAATAGAAAAAAAATAAAAATATAGGTCTCATATAATTTTAATTGTGCATAGAAAATAAATTTATCTCCTACAACGTAACGTAAAGAAAAAATACACATGAAATTTCTTTTAAAACAAACATTTTAACTTGATTCAAATTTAAAATTGAGGGCGAGGGGATGTTTGATTTGATAGACGATAATGGGTTTAGGCTTTGTTTGGGAGTTTGGAGGAGAATGGAAGGAAGGGGATTCAAAGGGGAAGGAAGGGGAGGAAATTGGAGGGTATCCCCTTCCCTTGTTTAGGAGTAAAAAAAAAGGAATGGGAGGATAATGGATGGTCAATGAGATATTTTTACCATTTTACCCTTTTTTTTAGAATTAATATAATTATTATACTTTACAAATTAAATTAAATTAAATCTAAAAAAATTTAAAAAAATTATTTATGTACTTTTGACACCACAAAAAAAGATCATATTTTCGATGAAATTTCTACGTTGCAAACGATGAATCGTTGGAATACTTTTCGTCGAAAAGCGACAGAATTTTTCAACCGATGAAAATTTTTACAAAAATAAATTTTCTATCGAAATTTAGTTTTCCTCAAAAGTTTTGACGAAAAAGATTTCCTCCATCAGATGTTTTAAACGAAAAAAGAATTCTTTCAAACATTTTAACGGAACATTTTCCGTTCAAAATTTCGATTGAAATGTGTTCTGATGAAAATTGTGACAGATATTGTTTTGTTAGAAATTTTGAGGGAAATGTTTCATTCAAACTTTCGACGAAATTTAGATTTTGTAAGGAATTTTGACAAAATATTTTTCCCGTCAAAATTTTTTGTCGAAATATTTTCTGTCAAAATTTTTTACGAAAATATTTTCTGTCGAAATTTTTTGACAGAAATGAGTTCCGTTGAAAATTTTGATGGAAACATTTTTTATCAAAAAACTTGACGGAAATATTTTCGTCAAAATTTTTTGAAGGAAATGTATTTCGTTAAAAATTTTGACAGAATTTTTTTGTGTCAAAAATTTTAATGAAAATATTTTCGTCGAAATTTAAATTCTGCTAAGAATTTTGATGAAATTTTTTTTCGTCAACAATTTTCAATAGAAATGTATTTCGTTAAAAATTTTGCTGAAAATATTTTTCGTCAAAAATTTCGATAAATATGTTTTTTTGTGAAATATTTTGGCAAAATTTAGATTGCATAAAAAATTTTGACAAAAAAAAAAAATTTCGTCACATTTTTTTACAGAAATAACTTTTTTCACAAATTTTGATGGAAATATTTTCCGTAAAAAATTTTGACGTAATTGTTTTACGTCAAAACTTTTCGATGGAAATGTGTTACATCAAAATTTTGGACGGAAATATTTTCGTTAAAAGTTTCGATGGAATTTAGATTCGATCAATAATTGTGACTGAACTTTTTTTTACGTACAAAATTTATGTTAGTGATTATGGCAAAATCTGGTTCCGTCTTTAATTTTGTCTTTAGTTTTGACGGAAATTTTTTGACGTATATGATTTTCATCAAAAATTTCATCACTATTTTTTATGAAATATTTTTCGTCAATAAATTATGTCGGTATTTGAGACTTTTCTAATAACATCGCATTTAAAAATTATTTACAATTATGTAGTTTTAACATTTTAATGCTAAGGGTAGAAAAGTAATTTTCAATATTTTCCCTCTCAAATCTTTCAAATTGGGAGAACTTTAATTTTAAGAAGAAAGAGGGTTTTGGAGGGTTTAGTAAAAATCTTCAAACTCTTTTCCTCTTTTTTTTTAACTCACAAACAAGCTAAGAGCTTTCTAAAACCCTCCATTCGCTTTCCTTTCCCTCCTAAAATTAACTCTCAAATAAAGCCTTAGGAACTATCAGTTTCAGTGATGGCACGGGGTGATTGGTTTCATAACGCACCGTAATATTGCCATTTTTGCCCGACTGAAGGAGATATTATGATAACTCTTTCAGGAAGTGGAGAAATATGAACTGCGTAAATAAATTTACATTTATGAGTTCGAATTCTAATAAATTTATAATTAGATTTTTATAGTATCCAAATTTTTTTGTTGAATCCCTGTCGTCAAAACATCGTTAAACATAATTTACAAAAAAAAAAAAAAAAAAAAACATCGTTAAACATAAACACTTGACTACATTTAGGACGAAAAAGTTTTTATAATTAGATCATTGTAATTTTTTGATTTTTTTAATTTAGTCCTTAAGAATCTAAGATTAAGTATCGTAATTAAAATTGAAATTTAATTACGAATTTTTGAATCTATAGATTATTTAGCTAAAAAACTATTAGTTGAAGCTGAAAATTAGTTGGAAGTTGACACCGGTGTTTTAAAATTTGGCTCGGTCATCGACTTGGTCAAAGTACTAGATTATTGGATTTGGGTTTTATAAGAGTTATGTTGTAGGAAAAGTGATTGTGTTATATTATAGAGATTCGTTTTGCGTGCCGAAGTTTTTTTTTTTTTTTTGCTGCGGGTCCCACAAAATGTTGTATGTGTAGGAAAATTTTTGTGGTCATGTTAAATGATAGATGATAAACCCATTGAATTTATGGTTTTAATCGGATTTCAAAATAATATATAATAAATAATAAATTTTGAACAATATGTTAAATAAAAAAAAGTTGACCAGTAGTAAGCCTTCCAATTTTTAAACCAGGGAACTCAAGTTCGAATCCCGTTGATTTTTCAAATACTTTTAGATTTTTTTCTTGTGTTTATCGAATATTTTTATTAATATTATTGTGAAACTAATGTTATAAATATGGTTTTTTTTTTTTGGTAAGCATAAATATGGTTTCAACTATTACTAGTTAAGAAGCCCTTACAACTATTGGTCGAGTGTGTTAGTTTGTGTAGGTCTAAATTATAAGTTTGTTTTAACCTATATTTAAAAAACAAAAAAAAATTGGCCTAGGCCTGGTAGCTTATTTAAGCCTATTAGGCATTCAATAATAATAATAAAAAAATATATATTACTTTATTATTCAAAATTATAAAAATAATAATTTATTTATTTTATTTTAAATAAATAATATAATATAGGTCGACATGAAAGCTTATAGGTTTGGCATGTAAAAAAAAGTCTATGACCTGGTTTCTAAATAGGTTTTTTTTTAAGGCTAAGATTGTTTTATGTGACTATATGTAATAAGCTGAATCTGGCCTGATATAGGTTGAGCCGTAGGCCCATCTTAGGCCAGCTTGTCCATTTACACTCCTACTAGAACGTAATATACTCATTATAGCACCCAATTTTGCTTGTAGTCATTTCTTAATATTGATGACCTGTTGCGATTAAAGCAAGTATATCGATCGTTCCAAGTAATAAAGTGATAAGAAAAGATCGTTCCCACGAGGATTAATGCACCAATTATTATTCTAACTCGTCCCCTTAATTTGGAAAATTCGATTTAATAAGACAGTAGATTTTGAATTAAAATTAAAAACAGTAATAAGCAAAAGCATTCACTAATAATCAAGAACGTCAAGGAAGGTATGAGTAAATAATATAAAGAAACTGCAGCCAGGATTCACTTCACCTCCAATCTTCCTTTATAATTCTAAATTAAATTTTATAACCAATTAACTCATTAGCTCATACAATTCATCTTTCTCCTATTAAATAGTTGAACCCTAATGTCTTAACGTATTCAACCTTTTAACCCAATTATAACCCTAGTGTCATATTGATCCCTCTTGAATCAAATATTAAGCAGATGAATTTAAAAGTCTGCAATCTATGTAAGTCTATGTCTAGATCATGCACAGATTGTTATTCTACCCTTGTCTGAATTAAAACCTCGATATTCCTATTGTGAACTCTAACCCTCAAAACCCTATAATAGAGCGATCAATTCTAAAAAGGATATGAAAAAATTCACTCAGGTAGAATAAAACTAATTAAATTAAAACAATTATAAAACAATTTAAAAAATATAAATGATTCACATTGGATCCATGATCCCAACTACAAAGAAAAATTAGCCAGACATATCTGACTTAAACAATTCAAAATAATAAAAGGAATTCATAACAAGAAAAGAAAATAAGAAGATGAAGAGAAAGAATCAATGGTGCTCAGTCTCCTTCAAGCTCCTCTCTTTCTGAAATCTCCAACTCTGGTATCTGGTGTT